CCCCCCCCCCCCCCCCCCCCCCCCCACACACACACACACACACACCCACACACAATATAAAAAATCACTTCTACGGCCTGAGAGAACTCAGCTGCTACAGTAGTAGACAGAACGATACGGCCTCGACTGGGAGGAAAGCCAGGGTTGATACTGCAGCAGTTGATTAGATGATGAGACCGCACGCACCCACACACACACACACCCACACACACACACACACACCCACAGGAGACAGGAGGGCAGTATCCTTACGTACTTTTTACTTAACACTTCTCGATACAGAATTCTGAGCTCTCAACATGGCGGCTAACGGCGCTTTAGGTGGGCGACTGTAACAACAGTCTGTAACGTTAAAGCCATTTCCCCACTCACACGTGGTCGCTAAAGTAAACAGGGAACACGAAAAGGACCAAATATCAACGTCAGATGACGCAAGATGCAGTGTTACGTTACCATGACAGCAGCGGTGCAGCCATGACTTTAATAGTGCAGCGGATCATAGAACTCACAGATCGGATCAGCACAAACGAAAGGGGAGCAAACTTAGAGATCCCTGGTCACGTTTTTTTCCACCGATACTGAATGTCGATCGTTGATGATCCGTGTTGATACACATCCCCTTGTTCTTACAGCTGCTCTACAAGGCTCTGCTTTTTTCTGCCACCATCCCAAAAATGATTTCAATGCTCTGAAGTCAGTAAACCATCAAATATTATAAATGTTATCCTTTTACTTCGTTATAGTCATTTACGTTGTATTCTTTCAAATGATTAGGAAATAAGATTGTATTTTCCTTGATTAAAACATATCATGTCATCAGTTTAATGATGTGTTATAATCTGCTTTAGCAATGTAAACACCTCGAAGGTCTTTTTTTAGTAACCGATGCCGATGACTGTGTTGACGACTCACCCCTCTCGTCATCAGGACTCTGACTGTGTGTTCCTGTTGTTTCTGTGTTGGATGTAAATCCTGGGAGAGGGATCGCTCTCTGTTGCTCTCCCAGAGGTTTCATCTGAGCCGAGGGTCTTTGATCCTAACGACGGTGAAAGGGAATATGACATGAGGAATATGCATAAATACATATTGCGAGAGAGTAGCAGAAATACGTCGGGTGGTGTTGCGTGCGTTTGTGTGCAAGTGTGCGTGCACGGGCCTCATGGTTCCCGTTTGTCTTGCTTGTTCAAGAAACGCTCAAGACCTAAACCCCCCTCCCCTCCGCCTACAGGCGCCGATCTCTTCTCTAACTGCACGGAGGAGTGCAAGGCCCTGGGCCACTCCGACCGCTGCTGGATGCCCAGCTTCGTGGCCTCCGATGGGCGCCAGGGCCCGGACTACCGCAGCAACCTCCACGTGCCCGGCATGGACTCGGTCCCGGACACAGAGGTATTTGAAACCCCCGAGCAAACGGCTGATAGGTCATTCTCCACCTTCGGCAAAGAGACGCCTGTCAGTCACCAACATCTCCACCTCCACCAAAACCACCAGCACCACCACCTCCTCAAAAACCATCACCTCAGCCACCAGCAGGGCTCCCTAGAGAGGGAAGAGTTGGATGCATTTCCACCCATTACCCGAGCACCTTATAACCCGGCTTATTTAAGTGAGTATTGTGTTTTGCTGCGGCCTAAGCGCCCGTCCCGCTTCTCTGAACCGCTGATCGAGTTAGGCGAAAAAATCCCCCCCTCCCCCCCGGACTGGCTGGCAGAAGGAAGCGAGAAAATTAATTTCAGGTCTGACCCCTGTTCTCCGAGCCCTCCTGTCAGACTGTTTAACTAACTCTTCCCTCTATCGCAGGCATCTCCATTATCTCCCACTGTGATGATCTTATCTTCCCTCACCTACCGTTTCCATTCATTCTCACACACACACACACACACACACACACACACACACACACACACACACACAC